ATTGGGGGTCGGTGTCCAGTTCATCGGATCATACGCCCTTTGGACGGGGTCAAAATTTCAAAGTGCCCAATAAACCCTGATACCCAATCGAGCCGGTGACCACTGCCATAATCGGCAAGGTGTGTCCTCTCATTTTGGCGAAAGCCCACCTCCACCATCAGAAACGTGTGAATTGGAGCTTCGTCAACCGAAGTTATTTGAGACACTAATATGGGCTTTGATTTTATTATTTGCGTATTATCTTTGCTTCTGTACCAGACCGTTCGAGCATTCCACTCTTGACTGATGTCAAATGCAATGGTACTTGACGATTACTCGCTTAGAGTGAATTACGTCTAATACCTGGAGGTTATGTCACAATTTTGTACAGTGGTCCTAAAAAAATCATTTCCACATTGTAACCTCTGGGCGAATAATTTCTTCACATTCGCTGACAATTCGGAACTTCTTTAGGTAGTTCTTCTCAACGTAATCTGCCCTTATTTACCCAGACCGAGTGAATAGCTTTGACGTCGAGCTCCATCATTTCAACCGTCGTCTGTTTGTTCATTTGATGACTGAACTGTGAAACTCGGTCACCAGTCAACATCTGTCTTCCTGTTTGAAATTTGCCTGTGATATTCTCGTCGATCCTTCCCAACCTTTGTTGTGTTTATTTTAGCGTTGGTTGTAATTAGATGGAATAAAGGACACTGCTTTATCGTGGTTAGTGGGCCCAATCCCTTGCATACCATGAAAGGCTTGGCCACAATATTGTTTGCGGAGGAGAACGGTCAAACATTTTTGTCCTTTAAAAAAGCGGTTTCGGGGGTTCCACCTTCTCCCTGTATGAATGTCCATTGATGATCTTGTTCGTCAACCACTCGAGAAAACAGATTTTTGCATCCCCGTTTGCCACCACCTCAACTGTACCTAATTACTTTAAACCACAGCAACTCGTTCCCAGGTTTCAGTTTTTGCAACCATTGACCATGCACTTTCGGGCATTAGCACCAGTAAGGTCCGCACTGCACTCTCTGAACGCAATCACCAGTTCGGTCCTCGAAATGTTTCCTCCCGAATTAGTTCCTGTTGTACGTCCTCTTTTTTGTCTTTTCCGTCAACTTTCTCATTTTCCGACACCTTGGAAACACTGTGGTCCTTCTCATTCCCAAATGTGGTGACCTTTTTGACCCCAATAATTAACGATCCATTTCCGTCACATCTGTCCTTTCGTACTTAGTCGAACCCGTTCTTTCCGACCAACTACGTGCGTTCGCAAAGGGCTACTAAGCAACCACCATTTTGGTTTACGACCTCGTCGTTCTACCAGGGACCTGCTGGCTCTTGTCTCACAGTCCTGATCGGCTGCACCAAAGAGAACCACACTTAGTCTCTCTTCCAATCTCAAAAGCCGTCGACCAAGGCTGACACAGGTCTGCTGGCGACAATACTCATGTTCGGGTTCCCTCCGGCTCTCGAATCGTCGATATCAAGTTTCTTAATTAGAAGGACCATCTCCATTCCAGTTGATAGAGTTCTACCTCAAACGTTCCCTGTGAATACTGGCGTTCCTCCAGGATGCAATGCTTATGCCGGCCCTCATTTCTATTTATCAATGATCTCATTTTCAAAACTGTTAATCGAAACCAGTATCTTGCCGATGACGCCACTTTTCACCGCTTCCTCACCTACTGCACTATTCGCCATGCCAAAACCAACATCGATCATTAGCGTAGTGTCACTGGAACCTGATTTAGAATACATCCCCTGGGGCAACGACAACCATCTTGCATGCAACACTTCAAAAACATTTCTGCCGAACTCTCTGAAACATCATTCATTTTTCTCCACTTGTCTTTTGGTTCCTCCAAACTGCGCTCCACTCATTCTGTTTCGCTTCTTGGATTGCCTATAACCTCCTTATGTTGATTCCCTTTCATATCTCAGCATGCTTCTTGTGGTGCACGTAAGATTGCTTCTTTGTTCCTCATCAGCTGCTTCATCACACCGCCCCATCTAGTGTATCAAGCTCAAATGCGCCCCAGATGAATACCACAGTCACGTTTGAGGTGGGACTTCGTCTTCCGCTTTATCCCTTTCTCACGGTGTTTAGTCAGAGGCCATCCGGCTGATCAATGATCCTCCCCTAACTTGTAGTCTGCCGTCACTAACCCATCGTCGGGTAGCTGCTTCAATGTCCCCTCTCTACCGTCGCTAAATTTTTGTTTAATCTTCGGAGCTTGCCTCGGCAGTTCCTCTTCCTATGACATTTGCCCAGCCCTGTACACAGACCTCTAGTCATCCTTTTCAGATTTCAGTCAATACCTGTGGCATATCTCTACTTCAAGCTCCACCTACCCGTCCCCCAGAAAAAAATAGTGTCAGGTTGTCGAACATCGTTCCTCCCTCAGCTTACAAACTTTTGCTTTTTAAAACCAAAATCAATCACCTGAATCTTTGAGGCATGTTCCCCTATCCTCCTTTTTGCAGTGTGCTTTTTGAACATGGACAGAATTCGCTCCAGGCAATCGAAATGGTGGGCCAGCAATGGCCTATCAGGCTACGAAATTCAATACACACTTGAAGCGTGAGAGACTGCTCTGGAGCACGTTTGGGAGGTGTCAATCATTATAGTAGCAATAATTTATCCGAAATCAGTAATGGTAATGCGTAATGTAACTGTATGGGTAGGTCATTTATTGGCGGCTTGTTAACTACGAGACCATGGGGTTTTCCCCTTTTTTCTTTAGTTCACATTATGTGAAACAGAAAGTCGTGCTTGCTTTATGCTTTGAATTACAACGTACGAATCCTACATTTTTCTGCAATCAACCAGAGCAAAAGCGTACAACGGAATTCGTTACATGCAATCAAAATGGTAGGCCAGCAATGGCCTATCAGGCTACGAAATTCAAATAAATTAGAACACAAAAGGTCAAGAAACGTGTCCTAATTGATGCGGTCAGTGAGGCACTGTCTAAGGACACAGTTTAAGTCAGGATGCAGCCATGTATGACCAAATATAAGGTGAACATAAATGGCCAATCACGAACTGCGGTCAGGACATGACGAACCGGTGATTGTGGGATGATGGGAAAAGAGGGTAGGTCACATGACACATACGACAAAGTAAATTTCATCCAATCAAACAGCTGTTACAACTGAATGGTAACCCAACGAATCGATACGCACTTGAAACGTGAGAGATTGATCTGGAGCACGTTTGGGAGGTGTCAATCATTATAGTAGCAATAATTTATCCGAAGTCAGCAATGGTAATGCGTAATGAAATCTTTTTATCTTTTTATTTGACTTCCTTTTACTGAACATGCAAAGGTACGATTCTTAGGAAGACGGAAGCGGCCAATCGAAGGACTGCCATTCAACACACAATAGGAAAAGTCAAGCGGTGGTGGTGGGATTCGAACACATCCCAGCGGCGAGGTGTCACAACCATAAGTGACGATGGGGCGGATGGAACCATGATAAACCCGAAGCTGTGGTTAAGCTTATTCCGCATCGATTCCAAAACGATTTGCGTAGTTGCAGGAAGGCTCTTCTAACTTCATCTTCACTGAGTTGGATTTCATCCTTAGGTTGGCCGTTTGGTCTTATCGTAGAGCCAGGATACTTGAAAACTTCGGTTGATTCGACAACCTCCCCGTTAGTCGAAATGGGTTGTGTCATGGCAGAAGTTTCGATCGCAAATGTCTCCGTTTTCGACGTGTTGATCTTTAGCCCAATGACCTGGGCAAACTGATTTATACGATTGACAACAGGCTGGAGGTTGTCCATGGTGTTTTCAAGTACAACGACATCATCCGCGAATTTGAGGTCAGCAATCCATGCGCCTGGGCCAGGCTGCACTCCCGGGTGACCAACGAGTGTTTGTCGTAACTACGATGTAATTGGATAACACCGGCTATATGGGACAACCTTGCCTGACTTCAGAGCTTAGGGTAAACTCGGCTGATTCTTCTTCATAAGTACGGACGCATGCCCGGGTCCCTGAGTAGTACGAATTTAAGAACCTGATGAACTCGGGCATCTTGTCGGACCGCAATATGCATCCTCTATCGACAGAGTCAAAGGCAGTGCGGAAGTCGATGAAACATGCCGTGGCAGACCGTTGGAACTTGTAGCGGTGTTCCAGAATCCTACGGAGAGTGAAGGTTTGTTCAGCATAGCTTCTTCCGCTGCGAAACTCGCCTTGGTTCGGGAGAGTGCAGGTATCTCTGATGACTACGAAGCGATTAAGCAATATCACTGCAAACAATTCGGCAGCGATATCAGCGAGGCTAATACCCCTGTAATTTTCGCATCTAGATCGATCACCCGGTTTTGGAACCGGGACTGAGATCGAATTTGCCCAATCTTTTGGAAAACCCCTCTTCATCAAATGGAGTGGAAAATAGAGTACAGAGTTGGTAGTCAAGCTTTGAATAGCTCTGGTGGTATCCCATCTTCTCCAGGGGCCTTACTGCTTTTCAGAGAAGTGACTCATTGACGATTTCTGTCGTACTTAGGTGAGTCGCAATTGATTTTGTAGGTCTCCGAACTGCTTGACACCTGTGGAGAGCCATGTTGGTTTGATGGGCGGTTGAGCAGCAATTTGCATTTTCTGTTCGGTTCCCCGAATAATTTGGCCTAGAGTGTTGCGCAACAGTGGATCCGATGTCTGTCTCTTTCGTGCTGCGACACGGATTAGACGAAATAGCTTTCCCAAGTCCGCTGCGACGGTTGCAGCCTCCATGCTGTTTGCAGTATTGTTTACGGTCTCTCTTAGTGGAGACTGTGACTAGGCGACGTAGAATACGGAATCCAGGAGAATGGATAAGCCGTGCATCCTTTGCCTTTGCGGACAACTGCAGTGTATGCTCGGAAATTCAGTCCCTTTTGTGGCAAAAAGTCTTACCTACCTGCCTGTGGTGATCGTGCAACGAATACTCACGCACCGCGGTACAGCTTCCGGCTAACCAA